AATAAATTTTAATTTTTCTATTGATATGATTGTTTATTAATAGTTTGCAAGAAAATATTAATAATTATAATTTATTTTTTTTAATTATAAGAATAGCAAAAAAATATTGAAGAAGAAATTTCAATTCTTATGTGGATATGATAGATCATCCATAGATCTACAACATACTCAATCTTTTGAGAAAATTAAAAATATAAAATTTTTATTATTTTATATTTCCCCAAATTTCTTCAAAAAATATCCATAAATCCATTTATAAACCAAAACATCTATGATTTTTAGTACAAGAAATGTAGATCAACATAGATTTAACTATTCTCAAGCATTCAAGCAAAACAAAAAAAAAAAAACACAAGAAACATTATATTATAAGAAAATATGTCTATTTTTGCAATATTTTCCGAATCTTAAAAGAACTTCATAAAACTTGATGGCTGACACCTTTCTTGTGTGTTTCTTTTTGTATATCTCACAATTTGGAAATGGGATTTGTTGTTTTAGAGGCTTTGGGGGTGAAAAAATGCTTCTTTTGAGGGTTAGAAACCCTTTTTACCCCTATATTTTTTTTGTTTTTGCCCTTCAAAAATTCATAGCTATATAGATATGCTACTAATACTACCAATACGGGGCAATACAATAACAAGATGGTGGAAAATTAAGAAACACTATCATGTCCATGTTTTAAACCTTGGGCTACAATGGTCATCCCTTCAAATGGGGGAATGCCATTCCACCAAAAATGGGAATCAAAATACTATTCTACCCAACTAAATGGCTAGAATTGATATGGACCATTCTTTTTCTAATTGTAAACTCCTATTCTTGCAAATCAAACGAACCCTAATACAGATTGAGAAATTTCATACTTCCTCCACTAATTTATTGCAGATGCATTTGGTACATGACAAGTGTCCCATTAAATGTATAATTATGGTTTCTATTAGCAAAAATACTAGTATGAGTATCTTTATGTATGAGGTGAGACATTTGTCACAATTTAAATGAAAGGGAACCGGATGGACTAGAGACAAAATCATGCACAACAGGCTTGGCAACCTATCACGAGTGAACACGCTGGTGTTTTGCACACATGGGCCACGTGGGACTAGGGTTGTAATCAAACCGAATCGAGTTGAGTTTTAGGTGGCTTGAGCTCGAAATTGTCTCAAAAATTTGGAGCTTGAAACTCGATTCAAGCTTGATTGAGTTATGAGTTTCATAGTCAAATTTGACTTGAGTCGATTCTCGAAAGCTACTTGACGAGCTCGACTCGACTTGATCTAATTATAAATAAGTTCTATTAAAAATTATAAAAAATCAATATTATGAAATATTATAAATAAAAATATATAATGAAACTTTATTATAAATTTATTTATTTATTTATATTATAAATTAAGTAATATAAAAATAATATTTATTTATAATAAAAATAATACTTTATTAAAATCCCGATTAACACTCATGAGCTACTCAAGCTAGGTATTCTAAAGCTCAACCTTGGCTTGACTAACTACTTGACTTGAGTCATGTTCAACTTGACTTGATAATCTTCAAGTTGAGCTCAAATATTTAACGAGCTAAGCCCAAGTAGCTCACAAGTTGGCTCAACTCGCTTACACTCCTATAAAGAACCCACACCTTATGTGTACAAAATTTGTCCCCAACCAAAAGTGGAGAATAAGTGTAAAGCGATCTCATGAAGATCTGAATCTAGAATTAGAGAAAGCAAGCAACTTTCTTCTTTCTTCTTTCTTTCTTCTTTCTTTTTTTTCTTTCTTTTCTTTTTTTATTTGAATAAACCCAAGTCCAAATATCCATTCATCAACATCTTGGTTTACAAATGATTGGAAAGTAAACAAATCAAAATTGACTAAATAATCATTACAAGAAGGGGTATCTCTAGTTTAGAAGAAGTGGCCAAAAAGGCCAAGCTTTGCAAAGCAATAAGCAACCTTGTTGAAAGGCTTCCTGACATGCTTAACAAAGATCAAATCAACAGAAAGGAGGAACCACTTGCAATTAGACACATGTAAGCTATAGAAAGCTCATGATTGGTTCAAGAAAAAGGAGTCACCACTCATTTTTTAGAGGAAATTGGCCATCATTTTAGCTTTAAAATTTTGATTTCATCTGCAAAATAGTGACTCCATTTCTCTACAGGAAAGACAATCAACCTAAAGATCTTGTATTCAAATAGATTAGGAAAGGGAAGATGTTATGTATCCCTCTTGCTCTCTCTCTCTCTCTCTCTAAGTTGTTGTGGTATCCCAATATAATAGTTGTTTAGGATTAATATTATAAGGATTACCTTTAAGAAAAAAAGAGGTAAAAACACCAAACCTTAGGAGAATAATTCAAACTTTCATTGGACTTGATTTGAAGTGATGTTATCAAGATTTAGGTACTGGTTTCCCCAGATCCATTGCCTCTCTACCTCATTCTTTAAGCCTAAATGAAATATGGAATAAGCTAAAAAAAACTACAAAAAAAAATTAAAAAAAAACAAGTTGAGAAACTTACTTCTTGGATGTAGAATGCTTTCAATCACTTTTTTCAGTCAATCAAAGTTGGGTATGTCTCTTAGATGCAAGGAAGCCTTTAGGGCAGATTGGAAACTCAAGGGTTTGAGACCTAAGGGTTTCTTGTGAGAAACGAAAGTGAGGCCCCTTCAATTGTGGGAAAATGCTTCCAACTTGTATCTTTTCCTTTTGGGCTTGATTTGGGTCATTATTTATAGAAAAATGAAAGGAAATCAAGTCTAAAATTGGCCCAATTACAAGGCTTGAGTTTCAAGGGAGTATTTTATGAAAAGTGTAAGAGATTTTGAAATAAAAGGTAAAGATGAAACATTTTTCCTCGATTTGTGGTTAATTTCAAGGGGTTTTGTGCATCCAATGGGAGCCTAGGGCATGCCTAACATTTCTAGTTCGAATAGGACACCCAATGGCATAAAACATAAATTTAAGTTAACCATAAATGCCATTTTGTTTTTTCTTAGATTTAAGTAGGGGTATCTTTGGGTTTCTAGGGTTTTTAAGCCTATTAGGCACAATTTTACTGGTCCAAGTGACCTAAGGGGTTAAGCGGAGGGATGACAACAGCCCTCACCCTTTTGAAGTATGAGATGGGGACTGATAATAGGGCAATTTGATCTAGTGCATCAAAACAAAATCTTTCTTATTTAACGGTCAAGTGGAGGAATTAAGTTGTGAAACTTGACGTATTAGGGTTTTTTGGGTCTCTGAACATAGTGGTGAGGTTTCATTAATCAAATGAGATTTGAATGTTAGAGATCTACTACTAATAAGTTTTAATCAGTGAAATTTATTAAAATAGAACTTGACTTGATAGTAGGTTGAATAAGGGAATCATGGGATAAAATTTGGTGGGTAGATATTTTTGAATGTCTTGAATCTAATAGAAAAGATGGATCTTTGATCTAAAATGTGGATTAAAAGATTTAGTTCAAATTAGGTTTTAGTTTATGCTTCATCAATTAATGAGAAGGCTTGAAATGGAACCTTATTTTGGAAGGAAATGAAGGAATTTAAGGTTAAAATTGGATGGGTAGGTTATTTTGATTTTTAAGGATTTTTTAGTTAATGAGAGGGGCTTAGTTGCTTAATTAGGTTGTAATTTATTGTATAATTTATCAAAAACATCAAATCAAAATCTTTATTGACCGGATAGTTAAACAAAGGAAATTTGATGTGTGGACATGGATTAAGATGAGGAATCAGGTGGAAGGTTCAGATTTGAGAAAGAATTTGTTGATCTTGACTGTATAACTTTATCCATCTAAGGCCGTCGAAATGAAATCTTGGTATTTTATAGTTGATCATTGTAGATTTGATGTGGGATTTAACGGTTGACCTTATCTTAGATCCTTTAGGCAATGGATGTATCGGATTTGATTTTGTGAAATTGGTATGATGAAAAGTGAACCTCTAGAGTTTGATTATGAAATTCAACATATAGTTAAGTTTTAATTTCCTAAGTCCAGGGATTGTGCTTGATCGGGGTACAAAAGCTTATAAAGTGTCAGACATTGATCTCAATATTCTCATTAATCGAAGCTTAAGTTTATTGGTATAGTTTAATCGAGTATTTGACGTATAGATTGTGCATCCAAAAAAAAAGAAAATTTGGGTTTCGATAAGTCTTAGATTGATCTTATTATACTTTTAAATTTTAGGGTCTAAACAGAGAATATAAAGAAGCAAGGTGAAGGGGCTGGACAAAAATGAGGTAATGACAACACATAGCAGCTAAGGAGGAGAGAAAGAATCCTCCAACAAGTAATGAATAAGCTAACAAGTATATCTCCCTCTAGTAAGTTAAATGACTAAATCAACTCAAGGCTAGATAAAAGGGCTTGCGATTCGCCAACAAAAACACTACGTACATTGGAGGAACACACATATAAACGGGCCACTTGGTGTCCGACTAGTCACGACATAGTAGAACCATGCATGCCTCATTTACTTTAATATACCGAAGCCGTTGTGGCCTGGCCGCCAAGGACCGTTGGAAAGTTGGGTATTAATGAGAATATTGTCACTAATGGGGTCAGTGCCAACCCACATTAATCTACTCATCTTTGAGCATATGCTTAGACTTGAGGGCAGATGCAAGCAAGTATGCAACATGCAATGAAGGATGGCTCATGGCTGGGTCAGAGCTATCTACCATTCGAAAATCTGAAATCGCTCGTCCATTGGCTCTGATGTGTTCCGCCTTTCACGGCATTAAGGGTTATTTCTCCACGTGTTCGCTCCTTATTGGTTATTTGGCCAGATTCGCTCACTTTTTATTCGCATTTAGCATCATGAAAGTGAAAAAGAAAGAATGCTTAATAAGCTACCATTCTATGCTCTATTCCCCTTCCCCCAACTGCTCACGAACGTTTGGTGGCAACCACGTGACGGTGTCCCAACTAAAATTGGCTGAAAGGTTGCAATTGCCTGCTCTCTATTTAAACACTAATACTCAACGGCAACAAAATTGTACCAAACCCAAAGCAAATCAAGCAACACACACACACACTTCGAGCAAAATAACATTGAGCCTTTGCAACTCTCAACTCTCAACTCTTTTAAGCACTTGTCAATTTCTGCGAAAATTAAAGCATGGTCGCCGAGCGAGGTACCGTGTGTGTGACCGGTGCAGCTGGTTTCGTGGGGTCATGGCTCGTCATGAGACTACTGGAAGAGGGATACACCGTCAGGGCTACCGTGCGCGATCCTGGTTGTACTTCTATGCTATATCGCTATGTTCTCAACAATTAATCAAATATTCGTTTTTTGCTTTCGCTCTCTCTATTTATTTGTTGATGTTGATGATTTCCATTTTCCGGCGATTATTTAATTTACAGGCAACCCCAAAAAGGTGAAGCACTTGCTGGACTTGCCCAAAGCAAGTACGCACTTGACGTTATGGAAGGCCGACCTTGTCGACGACGGAAGCTTCGATGAAGCCATCCAAGGATGCAGCGGTGTATTCCATGTTGCCACGCCTATGGATTTTGAATCCAAGGATCCTGAGGTGAGTACTGATGATACTCTCTCACTCTCAACCCAACGGGCGTTTTGCCAACGCTCTTGACGTTCCAATTTCCAACAACTAAGGGCTTGTTTGGCATCGATGCCATTGCTCCTAAAAACAGCAACACATCAGTGTTATGTCAGAAAAAACGGTGTGCCAGGAAATGCTTATTTATCTAGAACCATTTTCCATAAAAAATGGTGTTCTAAGTCATGCCTTAAAAATAGAGAATGTGTGACTTAGAATAATGCTGAATTTAGCATTTTTTGGAGCTGTAGTTCATTGCTGCCAATAGGGACATGAGATGGCAATGACAGGGACATGATGTGAAATTAGATAATAAGTACCAGTGCTGAAAATGTTTCCGATCCACACATCACAGCACTGTTATCTAAAAAATGATACTGTATCTACAGCATGATGCCAAACATGTGTTAAAACGCCAATTGTTTTTTGAAAACACTGTCCTTTCTTCAAGAAAGGAGCCAAGCTAAAAAGCTAGTTCTTTGGATTTTGCTCCCAGGAGCACCAAACTTGTCATAATCAGACCTTAGCTGCTCAGTCCTTTTTTTTAGGGAAAAGTACAGATACACACTATTCAGAATTGTGAATTCCAGC